TTTACAAAAAGTTTGTGCATAGGGTTTGGTGGGTGTTTTTTTTTTTTTAGCCATCTGTTTTTTGGAGGCTTTGGGATCCCTTGTATACCTGTTGCTTCAGTAGGACTCCCGTATTTAACTGACATCTTAAAGGTAATGTTTTACTGCATGGAATGGAGAAGAAAATTGTTTTGACTGGCAGCTGTTTGGGAGTAGGGAAGATATGACATGTTACACGCACAGGGCTGTTGTACACAATGTATGCTTGTGTAATTTCATCTATATGCAGTCTAGACAAAGGAGTCCTGGTCTATGCCTGCCACACAAAATGTAGTATCAGGACAGCACTTGTAAATGAGAAATAGGACTGTATACTCTTTTGTTACTGCTGTACAACTCAGGCTGTGGTATTTTCTACCATCACTCATTTAGATAATTTGCATTTTAAATCAATATCTTCAAACACCAAAAAAGATTATCTTGCAGCACTTGAGTTGCATCACTTTCAGGAACCTAAAAGTTCTGGCTGAGTCTTCTGATACTCTTCCAGTTGGCCATCGTGTCATCCATAACTGTTAGGCCCTGAGGGAAGTCTTTAGGATCTGCTCATGCTTAACGTCCTCTTGACAACAGGCAGCTGCTCCCAGGAACACTGCCATTGCTCAGTGAAGCATTAGGAACACGAAAGGTTGCACTGCATCCAAGGTGAGTCCTTGGGTGAGTTCAAGTCAGTGCTTGAGAGCTGCACAAAGTGAATCCTGAATGCTTTTGGCTTGGAAAGGCTAAACAGGCAGAGACAGGTTGTTTGGAGGAAGCTGGGTCATGGTCATTTTCCGTGGGAAGTGACTGTGCCTCCTTTTTTATCTGATATCCAAATACTTCATGCAGCATGAGGTGACCCGCAACAGCGGTAGAGCTCCCAGGCTGCTGCCTGTGTCGTGATTCTCTGCATCAAATGAAATGTTGGTTAACTGGGCTAATCTGTAAAATCTCACAGCAGCGTTTTGCATGTATGTTTGGCAGTGTGTTTTTAAAAAAGCAGCGCATCCTGTCAGACAGATGGTGTGTAGCAAGTTTTCAGAAACAAGTTGAGAGAGATGGCAATCGTATTAAAAGATGTGCGGCACTTGCTGTATGCGCGGAGGAGAGCATGCAGTAATTGGAATTTCAGCACTGAGCTACATTCTCATAACTCCAGCCACAGCTGAACACAGTCTTTGCAGAGATTGCAGTTAAAGTGTCATTGTCATTAAACTCCTTAGGTTTACATTATTTTTATGATTTCCAGTGGAAGAAAATACAGCAGGAGAAAGTTTGGAAGTCTGATTGAAATCTGTTTTTATCTGTCTGTACACAGGATCCTGGTTTTTAACAAATCATCTTTATTCAGTGATTGCTCGTGAACGTGGTAGAAAGTCCATAATCCCTTTTGTCATGTTCCTGGCTTTCTTTTTCTTCTACTTTCTATTTTTGTTTTGGATTGATTTATGGTATATTTTCCCTGGATAGTTTTGTGAAGACTGCAGAAACAAATAGGGAGGGTTTTTGGTTTTTTTTCCCCCTAAGGAGCTGAGGTGGGCTCTCTGCCCACCTCTTGCCTCATTTTGAGGTAGGCCGTCTGATCTTTAGTGGATTCTAATGCTGTTTGTGCCATCGTTGTCACCTCCTCTGCACTCGCCTGCTTACACTTCCCATCTTCCCCTGGGAATCTGTCAACCCTTTAACTGCAGAGAGGTCATGGAATAAACACTGGCTTTCCTGGCCTGGCTTCAGGGCCAGTCTTCAGGCAGCTCTGCTCCTTGAGCTGGAGTTCCTGCTGGATCTCAGTAGGAGAGAAGATGCAAGCTAACACCCCAACCTTTTCATTAAAAGAGGTGTAAAATGTGTCTTTGTCAGAAATCATCAAATCATTGTGTTGCAAAAGGAAGTGATGTGACTTAGATGGGGTTCATCAATAGCCTGCTGCTTATTGAGCATCCCATGGACACGTTACCTAAAGTGACAGAGCTTCTGTAACTTAGATGTTTAAAAAATTACAACAACAATCAATATTTAATAGAATTCTCTCTTCTGGATGTCTCCCTAACAGATTAATATGTTCATAATGAGGCCCCAGTCTAGCAAAGAGCTTACTCTCAAAGCCAGTCTGCCTGCTCATAAGCCACTATATTAAATGCAGCTGCAAACAGCAGCAGACTTTCAGTCTCATTCCTCAAAATGGAATTATCAAAATAATCCAATTTACATAAAAGAAGCTGAATTTGGTCATATTACTTGGGTTGTTTTTTTGTTTGGTGGTTTTTTTTTTTGTTTTTTTTTTTTTCCTCCCCCATATGCTTTCCTATCAGCACAAGATCTTCATCTCCACAGGAAAACCTGCTGACATTTTAAACAATCTTTGGTTTGTAGAGCTTTGATAGTCTTCAAGATGTTGGCAAAGGATATTTTGCTGATCTGCTCAGCAGCATTTGCAGCTACATGTGGTAATAAAGGAGCAGAGCTCCTTTGTTGTGGCAAATACACCCATGGCAGTGGTGAGAAAGGACCTGAATTCTATTAGTATCAAGATTATCTCCTTTCACTGAACCCATAGCAATAGATAGGTAATAATCTATTTTAAGTCTGTGCAATGGAGCACATTGCAGATTATGTTGAAGTGCCTTAGGATACATAGTGGATGCCCTTTATTAATAGGTGCTACATGGCAGCTAGATAATGTGCTGCTAGAAGGGATTGTGTGTTTCAGATTTTGTTAGAGAAGTCATAAACAGAATAGAAAAATACCCATCCTAACAAGCCAATCCAAAGAGAATGATCTGTCTTATTTCTTGCCATTAAACCTGGAGAAAAGTTTTGTGATTTGGAAGACCAGCTTCATATTGATACTGCCTGGTTGGAGACTTGCTGTTCACTTCTAAAGCCCTTACTGAGCCAGCTCCAATTTTTTTTTTTTTTTTTTTTTTTTTTTTCGGGTGGGGGGAGAGGGCGGGGGATGATTTTACTTTGAAAAGTAAATCATCCAATTTCAAATATGGTTCCATTTTGTTCTGTGATGCATGACTAATGTGCGTTTTAGACAAACTAGAGGATGATCCATCAGAAATGCATCTTATATTTGACTGTAAATATGAAGGGAAAAGGTTACCTTCTTTCTTATTTGTTGATGTGATTGCAGTTCATCATTAGCAGTGATACTGTGAGCAATAGCTTCAGCCAGAGAAAAGAAGAAAGGAATGATAAGTATGTGAAAGAGAATAAAAACAGACAATCCTATCTGAGATCATAAAGAATGATTTTCTTCCCAGCCAACCAGTTTAGCAGAAGCAAATATCAGTTTCATTTTGGGTTAGAAAAAATAGGAATTAAAAAGAAGGTGAACTTTCATCTCCCAAAGAAATTAAGCAGTGCTTTATAACATCCAGACCGTAAATAAAATAGAAAGTAGCCCATCTAATAGTACTCCATCACTAACTTAGCATCTTCAGGGCATTTCTGTAGCTTTTCTCCTAGCTCCTTATTAACACAGTTTCTTTCTCCAAATCTGCAACGCTGGAACACAACTCCTACTTTTATATCCCTCTTCTGCCTTTCTGTTATGTAAAAACAAATCATTAATTTGTTTATTCATTAAATCTTCTATGTCTCAGAGCACATACATATTCCTCCTTTAAACCCACAGGTAAGATTATTCTGTTTTCCTGCAACACTTGCCATTACACCTAGTATTTAATGAGGCTTAGCATTCTATGATAGACAGTCTTGTAGCTTCTTTCCTATTAAAGCACACCATACTTCAAAATGTTCTCCCAAGCCCTGTGAAATACTTGGTGAATGTATGTGTAACTGTTGTCTTTTCAGTTCAGGTCTCGTGGATGTGCAGTTTCATGTGAGATCCATGTGAAATGGCCCTTGATATCTTTTTTCCTAAATATAAAATGTAATTTGTATTAGTTAAAGTTTTGATTGTTTTTCAGAAGTTATTGAATATGAAGAAGTACTGTAAATGACAAATGTCAGACAGTGGTAGGAAAAGGTTCATGAGAGAATGAATTGCAACCTGCATTATGGATTTGTGAAGTTTTGAAATCTCTACGCAGAATCTGTTTCTGGATTAGTGAAGAAATTAAGTGTAATTCTGTGATGATCTAATTTTCTGGCCATTTAAAATATTTATACCAGACTGCAAAATCTTGCTTGATAGGAAAACTGAGCTTTCAAATTATAGTGACCTTATTAAAGGGTTGAATCCAGTCATGCAAGAGTGTTTTTCATCTACCTTTGCCTTTATAGACTTTATCTTGAGGTCGTCAAGCATCAAGCAGTTTTCATGTTTTGTGAGTGCATTTCTTGGAAATGCTACAGCCTAATCTGATAGAAACCTGTAAATTACAAAATAACCTGAAATTGTTTCTCACATGCTTAAGCTACCAATGAAGTTGAAGTTCAGTCTATTCTTAGCTAATAAAATAGTGAATATGTATCTTTCCTTCATGTAAGTGTTATGTAGTGAGATAGATGTCATAATATAAATAATGCATAGCCTTTTGGACTTGGAGAAGGAGAGCGTCACCAAGCTTATATTATTCATTTTTTATAGTTAAAGTAGTCAATTCCAGGCAGTGTTTTTAATTTGCTATGAAAAGCTAAGTTCTCCTTTCTTGAGCTTTATCTATAATCTAGTAAAATCAGGGAGAATCCTTTTGCTAAGGCCAGTACCCTTTGAACAGATGGTATAAATTCAGCAAGTGAAATAGTTCACATCTGCTTAATAGCCAAAATAACTGACAATAGGAGGCTGCAGTTTTTCATCTGTTCTGTGCTAATACAGACCTCAGAAGCTTTGAAAGGTTTACAGTAGTGATTTTGTAATACTATGTGCTAATAGCGTTACGATTTTTAATCAAGAATTGATAGACCATAATCCAGTATGAGGTCATTTAAAGTATTTGGACTAAGACAAATTTTCAATACTGAAGTATTTGCAGAAGAACTTAAGTATTTTGTGATATGGTTGCTTGCAGGATCCAAAGCTGCGTGAGCTGTTGGATGCTGGGAATGTTGGAAGTCGACTGGAAAATCGAATGATAACTGTTGTCTATGGACCAGACCTGGTGAATATATCGTACTTGAACTTGGTGGCATTTCAAGAGGATATAGCAAAGGTAATACACTTTTATCTGTGTCATATGAAATTTATCTTTTTTGAAGTATTGCTTTGAGATATGGATAAATGAGATAAAAGTGGAGATTGCTATGAAACGAGCCTCAATTCTGCTATAGAGCTATGCTGTTCCATATGAGAGAAGAAATGTGCGATTATAATTTTCCGGGAATATATTCAGCAAATTTTATGTCGCAGATGTGTGTGCTCATCTTCAGAACATTGCCTGTTACTCTATCTAAAGCCCAAGTAAGAACTGTGAAAATAATCATATATGCAAATTATTACTCTGCTATAAGGAGTATAAAACATATTGATGTCTTTCAGTAGTTATCACTCTTTTATGCTAGTTCTGTGTGTGAAAAGTAGGGACAATCTGTCAACTTATTGTGGTTGACCCATGTCAGAGCAGTGTGAGTCTACAGGTCTGCCTTGCATCCTCAAGTATGTCAGCAAGCAGACACTTAATATAATTTGCTCTCATGACATTTTCTGTGGGTGCTCAAAATTCAGTTTTACTCAAGCATTTTGCCTGCCAATATCTCTTGAAAAGAACCGTACCTTAGCAAAGTAATTTTTCCATGCAGGTAGGTAGTACTTTCATTTCTGTTCGACAAACCACAGCAACCACAGTTGTGTTTGACAAACAAGTCACAGTTGTTACTTGTACACATTTACTTTTTTCCTTCTTTCACTTTCTGTATGACTTAGTTGTATTTAATGAAGTGGAAGCTCTTGAGTTTATCTATCCCAAGATGGCATCCAAAAGCAGCTTCTCTTTCCACTTCTGTTCATGTAGATAAACTCAGATGGTAACCTCCAGATAACCATGCACTGAACACACTTTTATACAGCTTTCATCCTAGAGTCCAGTCGATTCTCTGAAAGGACAATTTTCCACAACTGACTGCTATTTAACAACAGTGAGGAGTTACTCTGTTGTTACACAGGTTCCAGAAGATGTCAGGACAGTTGAAAAATGATCAGGATGAAAGTTTTAAACATAGATGGATTAATTTTTGCTTGCCAACTTTCTGTTTCTGCGTTCTTCATTAGCCAATTGGTAAATCTGGTGGGAACACAATTCCCTCTGTTTCTCTGATACGAAAGCATTAGAAGCAGAGTTCATGGTGATCCCACTCTGCTATGTGGGAAGTGGTGTTCTCACAGTTGAGATCACGTAGCTATAATCTACAGGCATAGTTAAGAAAATCAGCACTGCAAAAGTGAAGGTAATTGATACAAATCAAGAGGAAAACTAAGCATATGACAGAAAATTAAAACGTATGCTAAAGCTTTCATAGCAAAAATTGTTAGCCCTTACTAAGGGAGAGGGAAAATCATCTAAATCAGAAGCATATGTCCTGTCTTGCTTTCTTGTTTAGCCAGCAATCACAGAACCATAATCTGCTTGCTGAAATAGTTCAGAAATTGGTATTTTAGAGCCATTTTCTGTTTGTTAATGGAGCCTTGAAATGCTGTCGACAAAATCATGTTTTGGAGAAGCTTTTCTGTCCTAAATCTTGAGTAACTTCTGTGATCTCAGTAACAAAGAATCTGAGTTTTCCTTGTTATTAGAAAGTGTGGCGGGCTGAATAAATGCATTCTTTATCAGTCAGGCATTGTTGCCTGAGGTAGGTTTCTCAAAGCATTGCAGATTAGCTTCACTTATTTTGAAATCTCACTAAATATCTTGATTGTTTCAATTAAAATAGTTTGATTGCTATTGAAGACATCTAAGAATTCTTCCTTGTTTAACATGTTTTCTTATTTTATATAAACTAGACCACAGAATTTGGTCTTCAGCATCTTCAGGAGCCATGGAGTGACTCAGATGTCAGTATAAGTAAATACATTAAGCAAAAAGAATCTCTTTGGGGAGCTTAGATGAAGGCATTAAATGCAAGAAGTTTTCAATGTCACACATGCAGATTTTGACCCTATTTGCTGACATTTGGGGAAGGGAAGTGCCAATGAATAATTCCCCCACCTTTCCCTTTTCAGTGCATGAATACTTCTCTTTTTAACCTTGTATTTCTGATACCTAACTTTTCAAGCTGTCTGATCTATTAGACTGATCTATCAGTCAGCCATCCCTTATAGGAGAGAGGCAAAGTAAACTGTATAGATCTTAACAAGGCAATTAAAATAATTCAGTTATGAGATTTCCTTCCTTTGCAGAAAGCTTACTGTCCATTACCTCCACTGTTTAAGTTGTGGGAAAATTATGAAGACCTGAACTGTGGCCTTTTGAAGTTGCTTTCAGTGAGCTAAATCAAGAGCTAAAAATTACAATGTTTTTGTTTCATTTGCATTCCTCCAGGAGAAGGCAACTAATATTTAAAGTATGATGAGCTGAAGGGTGCTGACCAGCTGGTTTGCTTAGAGAAGGCAGCTTGAAATCCTTTAGGTAATGATTTGAACAGCACACTGCAAAACCCATCTGGATGATGAACAGAAGTAGCTCTGCTGCAGTTCTTGCTCATTTTCAGCATGATATGTCTATGCTTGTCTCAGGACGGGGTTTGTGAGCATCTACAAGCACTTAGTACCATAGAAGCCAGGATAAAGAAATAATTTTACTCTTGGACTTTTTCTGAGCAGATGTTCTTTTTCCATGTCTGTTTTCCAAGATGAAGTCCAACCTGTGAACCTCTGTGTCTCCTGTATGATATTTTATTCTCCTGCCAAATCCTGTAACTTCAAAACTGAACTTCCCATCTTTCCTGTCTCCTTCCTGTTACTCTCTTTCCTGACTCGCACATCAGAACTGTTCACACAACTCTAGCACATCCTGGCCATAGAGATCCCTATTCACAGCCCAAGGCATTTTATTTCTCTTCAGTTTTCATGAGCACTGGATCAGTTCCATTGATAAGAACTGTGAATTCCTCTGTAAGTAAAATAATACCATCAAAGATGGTTCACAGGTTGATTGTTAACATGCTTCCCAACATATACATCTTCTTTTTTTTCCAGCTTTTTTTTTTTCTTTTTAATATTTAAGAGCTTTTTCTGTACAGCAAAATGTTAAAATAAGATAAATACATCTTTTTTTATTTTTAAGATAAAATTAGTAATGATATTGGAAGTGTAGGATTTCAGTAACTTTCTTTGTTATCTTTCCACCAAAAACAAGCATGCAAGGACATTGTCTCTCACATAGTCAGTTCTGATTTGAAGAAAATGTTTTGAAGAATCTGTTCTATCATTTCTTATGAAAGAAATTTCATCTCTCCCATTGAGATAAATGTCTTAGAGTATGTATCATGATGCATGTAATGGATGAGAGAAACGAGTTCACTGAGCAACAGATCTCAAAATGAACTGTTGCTTACACGCTACCTACCGAAGCACAGAGCAGTTACATGATTTGTTAGTTAAGTTAGCAGGAACTGTATAAATATGAATTAGTGCAACAGAATGTAGCCAAAAGGAGAGCAGGTTCACGAAGCTCTTACTGTGACGGATGTGACTCGTTCGGAATTGAATGTGTTGGAAGGCAAGCTTCTTCCCGTACCAAAAGGAATCAGTCTGCAAACAGTTTGTTGGCATTGCTGCAGCCCTATTTCAAAATACCCAGATTTATATTTTCCTTTTGTGTTGCAACTGTACAGGAGTCTGCTGCTACTGCGGTGAATCAGAGCTGTTATAACCTTTCCACAGTAGGCTGTTTTCTTTCTACACATAACAGCCTTCTACCCCGCCGAGCGCTCTCACCAAGCGCTACCTTCTGGAATCGCTGCTGCTGGTAAAGGAAGCTGCACGGAGCATTGTGCATGGATTTGGGGGGCAGGCTTTACTCTGCACTATGTAGCAAAACCAAGGAAACGGAACCATTTGGTGGTGAAAGCAGTGAGACGCATCTTGGCTCACAGCTTGCTGCAGCCCATCAAAGTCAGTCAAAAACATCTTTATTTCTTCGGGTCTTTGCTCAGGGCTGTTGTTTCCCCCCTGCTGAGGGTTCAGACCAATGCCTGGGAAGATGACGTGATCCTTGGCATATTTTCTGATCTTGGTTTTTCAGTTGCAGCTCTACAGTGCCTCTGTAATGAAATGAACACTCTAAAAATGTGAGAAGCAATTAACAAGTATTACTTGCGATGTGGTATCTGTATCATTAGAAACGGCCCAGCCTGCAGGTAGCCCTTAGAATGTTTCGCAAGGGCAATGCGATCACTAGAAGAGCCCAGAAAAGCAAGCAATGGAACATGGCAAGGCTGTGTTTATAAATAACATTCGTGACAGGCGTGCAATAACTGAGTTCCCCTTAAATTCCTGTGAACAAGCTCTCAGACAAAGAGAAGAAAGAGCTGGGGCGTGGGTTACTCCTGAAAAGTCATCAATCAATCTATTTTTTAGAAAATAGTTTTAAGCCCAGCAGAGTCAGTGAGATCAAAACAAAGTCAATCAAGATCTGCTAAAAGATCTGTTTTTGATTTCTCCACAGTATTTTGTGTTGCCATTAATCTTTGTAACTGTTAGTGTCACAAAGAGAAGTTTTAACTGCTATTATTAGTGCCCAAACAAAGCAGTGTTTACAAGATGAGCCTATTTTGAGCCTGGAAAGATGAGTTGCCAAGAAGAAAAAAGAATTCTGCACTTATACATGTTCTGTTCCAGGAGTCATAGAAGAGCAGTTGCACTGCTAAAGAAGCTGACTTTTTCTCTAATTATTTCTCACACCCCTGTGTTGTTTTTTTAAATTAGACCTAAGAAGGAAAAACAAGTGAAATAAAAATGGAAGTAGTCATGAGAGGTGGAGGGGAAAAATATCTCAGCAGCAATTGTTTAACTCCTGAACAATGTGGCTGTTTGGAAGGGAGGCAGGAATATCCGTATTTCTCTGCCAGGAATATCCCTCCTGTGCAGTGGCTGAGGTGTGAATTTGTAAACTGCAGATCTATGGCTCTGGTAGTTTAAGGATATCAAAAGCCTATATGGAGGTACGATTACAGGTATCTCTATCTCATCCTCATTGTAAATGACTGCGTGAGACTGGTTAAAGACATCAGATCTGATAATTTTAGAGAATAAATCTGAACACCTTAAAAAATGTATGTGTATAAAATACTGACTTTGTAAACTGCCTGCAATTGATCACCTCATCATGTGGAAGCTTGAGGCTTTTTAGGTAAATCAAGCTGGTAAGCTCCAAAGTAATGTAATAACATTTGTTTCATTTGAAGCCAATTGTACTCTTCATTACCAGTAATTTCTGTCAGAATGAAGTTCCCCTCTTTCATATTTTACCTCAAAAACAGACGAACAACAACAAAAGAAGAGGTTGAAAACTCCTGTAGAGTGTACATCTAGGAGGGTGTATGGTTATGGCAGCTCTGCATCTGCACTGATGTGAAAGAAAACTCAATTTTAGTATCAAAGAAAACTCAGAAAATTTCATCAAGTCGGGAAAAAAATCCCATTGTTTGAAAAGACATTGTTTATTTTGTTCCCTTCTTTAAAGGAGTGAAACGTAGGTAATCCAAAACTGCACTTGTGATTAAAGAGAACTGCTATTAAAGTTTGAAAATAAGTGCTAAGTTAGCAAGAGAAAAAAATGTGCTGAAGTTGTTAAGGAAAAGCTGTAAGGGAAACGAGCAACAGGACAAGCTGAGAGACTCTGAACTTAAAGTTATATGCATGGATCAGTCTTGCTGGAAGCCTGGAAAGGGACTGGGACCGCAGGGAAGGATTTTAGGAACACACTTAGGAATGAGGAAAAAGATGAAAGGAGAGGTGGAGATCTGGAAGAAGCGCTGTGCTTGCAGGCAATTTTTCTAATTGGAGTTGCGCCCTTTCACCCAATATCTATCTGAATTGAATTTTTTTCCTATATGCATCTTTTTTTTAAAAAAAAAAACGTTTCTCATGTTGGCGGATCAGATCTCAGATGGAGCCTGTAATTACAGTTCTTAATTCTGTATCTGCCATAAGAGATGAGGTGTGATACTTGTCAGAATTGTTTCCAGTCTGTAGAGGAAGTGATGAAGAGGCCCTTATAACAGACTTACAAGGTGAGGCATTGCAGCAAGAGACATGTTATGTTATGGTCTGTACCCTGTGCTGTCAAATTTGTCTGGCTTCAGACAGGTGTAAAGCCTTTCAGCCTCACCTTAAAGGATGGTTGTGTAGAGTCTCTTTCTTTGCTCCTCAGTATGTCAACCGGAATATTCCCAAACACACAAGAAAATGTATTTTTCTGGGGTGTGTGTGTTACATCTCCCAAGCTCTTGAACATGCTTTACATAGGACATTTGTCCATATGACTTTTTTCTGATACTGTGGAATGAGATATCTTTAAATATATATATATGTGTATATATATATTTGTAATAGTCTTCATTGTTTGCAGAAATTCTAATCCCACAGACAAGGAGGGAAACTGGCTGGAAAAATCAAGTTCAGACTTTCATTAGGCAATTCTTGCTAACTGTCACTTTTAAAAATATGCAAAAGCAAAGTAAAGATCTAAACTAAGCCTCACTTAATCAACTTTTATTTCTGTAGGAATGGTCAGATGAAGTGTTCAGTTTGGCAACAAATTTGTTGGCACAGAACATGTCAAGGGACGCATTTCTGGAAAAAGCGTAAGTGGCCATAGTATTTAATGCTGTGGGTGTTGCTCTTTTATCTGCGTCATTTTCCTTTTCTCTTGTTAGTCACATTGTCATCTATTGTTTCTGCTTTGATGAGTTGTCAGTTTTGTAAACATAGGCTGTCCGTTCTTATTGTTTTTAAAGCTTGTTATCTAAACGTCATTTAAAAAAAGTCTTGGTGGTGGTGTTCTTCTCACTAAAAAAAAAGAAGCAAAAAAAAAAAGTATTAAATATAATCTTCCTGTTGTATGCAAAAGTAGCAACTTCAGCTATAGTCTGAAGATCTCCATTTAATATTGAATAATATTCTGCTTCTGGATTATTTATCTTTCTAATCTCTCTGATTTTAGCATGCTTTAGAAAGACACTGTAAATCTGCTCATTGAGGTTTGTTGGCACCATGCACAGATTCAGACTTGTTTTCAACAAAGTGCAAAAGCACATTTGGAGTGTAAAAACACATCTCAGAAAAGAAAGAGAACTAAATCTAAGAGCAGCAAGACTCAGATGATAAACGCACATGCTGAGATGACTTTACTTAAGTCATCAGATTGAGAACAGCATAAAAAAGCCTACCAGATAATTAGGATACTTGCTGACCTTTTTTGTTCTTAAAGAACTACAAGTTGACTGGTTAAATGCAGCTCATTGTTTTCCAGTTCTTGCTTGTAGATAGAACTTCATTCCAGCAAAATACCCAGTAGAGGCTTAGTTTACTAAGACTTGTCTCTGTCCAAGGAGTAAGTTAAAAGCCCTGTTTTGTGGACCAGGTAACGCTACGCATACCTAGTTTGGCTATCTGCACTGTTTTTAGTCAGAAGATTCCTGACTGCGTAACTTCCAGGAGCATACTTTTAAGTTACTGGTTTGTGAGGAGTGTATGTTTCCTTCTCACAGTTTGGGTGGTGCAGATGGAAGTCAGCAATAGTTCTAGAAGAAACAAACTTTGAAAGTTGGATGTTAAAGGAATTCTAGTTTTGTATCTGATACTGCTCTGTTAGGACAGCAATGAAATGCTAGGCAAACCAAATGCCAAATGAATGGAAACATTTAACATTTCCTTCTGGTTCTGCTTGCTGACACAGTATGCTAACCTAAGTAGATCGAGGTATCTTTCTGGAAAGTCTTCTAAGTTCCTTCACGATCAGTGGAGAAATGAATTTGTGTAAAATAGGGAAAATGTTTTTTTTCCTTCAGGTCTTTCTGGATGTCTGCAGGCCTTGGAAGGGCTGGGCACCCTTTCCATCTCCACCTTTCTCCATCATGAAAGTGCATATTAACAGTCAGCATTGCAGGGCTTATATTGGACTCCTGTATTTACTCCTGAGCTGCTGAGGCTAAATTAGATTTCACTTTATCAACACAGCTCTGTGTGAAAGAAAGAATAGACATTGCTTCTTTCAGCACCGTAGATTGTAGATCAGGGCTGATTTGCTATTGGATTTCCATGTCCTTATCACTTAAAGGCCCAGATGGCCAACAGACTTGGTTGACAAGTGTGTGATAGGGAGGACTAGGGCTGTGCTTAGTGTGTGCTTTCCTGTGACATTCAAAGAAGTATGTTGTCACACAGTATAGTAGAGCCAGTCTTATTTGAAGCCATTTTTCTATGATTATTCAAGCTTAATATTAATTAAAGTCACTGAACACATTTTGTCAATTCAATCGCAAACAAGCATGTTATTCCTGTGTCTTTTTTCCACTAATTAATAAATCACTTGGGAACTGTTGGGCTTCCAGGGTTCTTTGCACAGATGCCAAATCAGAGTCACTTAAGGAATCTTTGAAGATTAAAACTATTTTCCCATTATAATTACTGTTTTGAGCAAAGAATTGGTTGCAGTCCTGTCAGTAACCTTTTGATGAAATAGAAAAGCAAATTGCATTAGAGCAGATTTAGAAAGGAATGTTTTCTTTGTGGCATTTATTTCCTTTTAGTGTTTGAAGTGCGTTACTAAACAGATTGAGCAGCGTCTCTGCTTTGGTCAGATGAGAAAAACAGGGTTAATTTGGGAGGATGTAGCTAATAAATCATGACATTTTGGTTATACAGTACACATTCCGCTGTTGTAATGCTGCAGTGTATTTTTGTGTTGGGATACAAAAATCACTGTTTCGGTACAGTAGTACTGGAGTCACAATAACTGTGATGTGAGTGTGTTCAAAAGTTTCAAAAAATGGAAGACAACAAAACTCCTTTAACAAACCACTACGACTTTTTTAAATCTAGCTCAGTGCTGGAAGGCTGGGGTGGGTAGTGTTTTTCTTTGGTGACACAGTAGCACAGGATATTTTAGTCTTCAGGAGAACATAAGGATTTGTGAAAATGTTCCTACATTACTTAGGGATATTAGCACGTATTATGTCTTTGAAGTGGTTACAAATAGCATTTTTGGTTGGGAAGAACAGGAAAAGTTATTAGAACCATGCAATTTCTTTTTCTTTTGGTATGCCAGTGGATAAAGTGAAAAATACATTTTAAAAAAAAGAAAGAGAAATACTTCAACATTGCCGTGTTTCTCAACAGATCACGTTACAGAGACACTTATTTGTAGTTTTACTTAGATTCAAATGGAAGAGATGAAGCACTCAAAAAAAAGTATACTTTGCAGGCTGCTGCTGGTGAGCATTTTGCTGGTTACCAGTGGTCCTTGCGTGCTAGGAGGAACATCAGATGATTGCTGTAAACCCAACTGCTTCCCATTAGCTACTCATGGCTACTAGTGGACTACTGTTTCACTTACTTAAAAGATGTGAACAAAGGAAGATACCTCCTTATCCTGCTGCCTCAATCAGCATGAGAGAAATCACCTGAGATGCTTTTAAATATTCAATTCAAAAGCTGTATAATTGCCAGCCTGTAGATGGTTTCAGCATGTAATTTTTATATTGCCGCAGACTGGAAATATAACGGGCTTGTCCAGGACTGCTAAATATACACTACTCTCTTGCTAGTGCAGACATTTCATTTACCAGCAATTTGGCTTCTTCCCAGCTGAGGAGTGGCAATATTAAGAGTCAAAGAGAGAAACCTTCAGAGCTGTGTAATAGGAGGGTTTATGGAGGTAGGTGTAGTTGTGTGCAACATCCAGGGGCAATATCAGCCTCTGGGAGGAAAGTAATACAGCCACCATTCCAGTCAAGTTCTGCAGTCTGCATGCCATGCCAGAGAGATCATGAGACAGGCAGGTAGGTGGATAGACATTTACCTCTGTCTCAGCTCTACGTCCAGGTGGAGGCCACTGGCAAGACCAGGAGCTGGTCTTGGGACTGCTACTCTTCAACATCTTGATCAGTGAGATAGACAGTGCAATTGAGTGTACCCTCAACAAGTTTGCTGATTACACCAGGCTGAAAGGTGCAGTTGCTACAATGGAAGGGATGTTGTTCAGAGGGATCTGGACAAGCTTGAAGAATGGGCACACATGAACAGAATGAGATTCAACAAGGCCAAGTGCAATGTGCTGCACCTTGTTGGGGCAATCAGAATACACAAAATATGTGTACTGAATGGGAGAAGAACTAATTGAGGGCAGCCTTTGGAGAAGGACTTGGAGGGTTCTGATGGAAAAAAAACCTGGACATGAACCAGACATGTGTGTTTGTAGCCCGGAAGGCCACCAGTATCCTGGGCTGTATCAACAGAGGGGTGGCAGCAGGGTGAGGGAGGGGATTGTATCCCTTTACTCTGCTCTTGTGACACTGCATCTGGAGTACTGTCCTGGCATGGGGCCTTCAGCACAAGAAAATGTGTAGTTGTTGGAGAGAGTCCAGAAAAGGCCAGGAAGATGCTCAGAGGGCTGGGGTATTTCTCTTATGAAGAAAAGCTGAGGGAGTTGGACTTGTTTTGCCTGAAGATGGGAAGGTTTCTGAGAGATCTCACTGCAGCTTTCCACTACTTAAAAGGAGCTTATAATCAGAAGAGGGACTCACTTTTTGTATGATCTGATAGTGAACAGGACAAGGTTTTAAAATAAAAGGGCAGAGATTTAGATTAGAAGCAAGGAGGAAATTTTTTACTCAGAGGCTGCTGAGGTGCTGGAACAGATTGCCCAGAGAGATTGTGGATGTCCCATTCCTGGAGGCATTCAAGACCAGGTTAGATGGGGCCCTGAGCAGCCTGATCTGATTGCTGGCAACCCTGCCCATGGTGGAGGAGTTGAAGCTTGATGATCTTTAATGGCTCTTCCAAGCCATGTCATTCTATGGTATTACTCAGCTAAAGGGATATAGTGTGTCCTTGATATGTGCTTATGCATTACTTCAAACTGAGCATCTTTGTGTGGTTTATATAGTGCATACTGCATGCCTGTATTCAGCCACCAGGGAAAAATGTTTTCATTGAAGATAATCAAAGGTAGAATTAGTATTTTGAAACAGCAGCAAGACAAAATGCAAAATTGAAACTGTCATTTGGTCCAGTGAGAATTTCTTAGTAGTGTAATCTGTCAGGTTATGGATTTGAAGATGCTGAAGCTGAAACAGTATTTATGCCTGCACTGGGCCTAGCTGAAAGAAAGAAACCTCCTTCAGCAAAAGGATAGTGAGCAGCTGGCAGCTTGGGTGAGAAGGAGTTTGGGAGAATGATAGCTATGTGCTTTAATGGTATTTGCAATGCCCTGTTGCAAGACTGACGTTACTTGGCACTGTAGGTGCATTATTGTTCGTGGAAAAGATATTCACTTATCTTTGGTATCTCAGAAGATTTTCATGTTGGCAAAAGACTTGATTGGAACTTAACACATAATCACAGCAAAAGTGTTGATCTGTAACGTTAGTGCAAAGGTACTTTAAAAAGTAAGAATAAAACGGTAATAATAAAACAGCATGCTTTTATCCCTGCAGATACACAAAACTTAAACTACAGGTGACTCCAGAAGGACGCATTCCTCTGAAGAAGTAAGTGTTGCTGTCCTTTCTTACCATGTAGTCTTATTTAATCTTTGAGTATGAATAAACATCAGGTATGAACATGTGATCCTTCTGTTTAGAATAATCTGTCCATAGCATATGTTTTGACATACTTCAAGGAAAGAACGGCCAGTGATTCTCAGGATGATTCTGTTCAACCACATTTTGGACATAGATTGCCCTTGTGATTTTCAACAATGTTAAGCTTCTCTGCTCTTGTTCCACTTGTGACTAATATTTTAAAAAGCCTAACATCATTTCTTTAGTTCATAGACACATTGTGAGGATTAAATATATTCAAATTGTGTATCACTAAGGCAATGTTTTAAAGAGAGCTGCGGTGACTTTCTCAAGTAACTATCCTTTGTAATAGGGGCTTGCGTGGGGTAGAATTAAACTCATGATGAGCACTATTAATCTCACCTGTATTACTAAGCAGCCTGCTAGTGGAAGTAAGTGGCTAAAGACATGATAAACTGGGAAGCAATATCCAGCTTTTAAGCCAAGTGAGCCATTAAGGCATGTCTTAAAGCCGATTAATTCCCTCTGGTTTGTTTCCATTTTGCAGCATATACCGCTTGTTTTCTGCTGACAGAAAACGTGTAGAGACTGCATTAGAAGCCTGTAATCTTCCATCTTCCAGGGTAAGTATCTTAATTTATTCCTAACCTGACAAGGTGTTGCATTCGTATTTAGTGGTGTTTACTCTCTGTTGAGTATGATTTGGCCAAGGCTGATTGTGCTTCACTGGATTAGCTCCTGTATGGGTCCTCAGCAGTGGAACTGTTTTTCCCACAGAGTTTACTGTTATCTATTTGAATATTGGAGTATCTCTGATCTGAAATATGGACCAAGAGTGCCTGGAAGAAGTGGAAATGGATTGTAAAATAAGCTAGAAGGTTGTGTAATCTGCTCTGAAATAATCCTATGAGAATGTTTTAAGCATCAGTAACCTGCACACAGTTTTCCAGGTGCAATTTGAGTGCATTGTTTGGCTTGCCATGAAGATAATGGTGTAATGTTTCCTTCTCACAAAAGAGACTATTTAAACTCATCTATTTAAAATAAAAAGTGTACGAAATAAATGTTGAACTGATGAAAGTGTCAAAGCTTTTAATGCTGCAGGGATGTCTCATTGTATGTTGCTCAGCCAGGAGCATTTGCAGGTTGGTACTTCACCCTTAAGAAGGCTTCTTCAAGCAGAGTGAAATCAAGTGATTCTAGTTAATGCTAGATTCTAGTTAATTCTAGTTAATGACATCCTTAGCCTTTCCTTCTGGGTGAAGAGTCTGCTTCAACAAGCTTCTTGCAGATAATTCCTACTTACTAAGTGTAAGACATGGGACAGAACCAGCGTGTAGCAGAGGAGTGCCTGCATCTCCTAATTTCTTCCTCTTGTACAAAGCACTGTGCCATGATGTTCATTCAACCTTTGTTTCCCCAATGCTGTCGTAATAGAGATAATTCCTGCTGCTCCAGAAGTACAGTTGTTTGGCCTGTGAAGATTTTGCACCTTAGATACCACTTGCCACTGAGAACTTCCTTCACAGATTTCAGAATATTTGTGTAAGAGATTACAGCAACATTAGCTGAAGGAAAGTGCTTTGAATGTTACAGTATAAAATAGGTGTTTGTCTAGTTGAAAATGTACTGAGGTTAGAAACATGAAAATATGTATTTTCAAGGTAGATTTTCATTTAATTGTTAGCAAACAATTTTTTAGTAAGTTATGCAAGAAATCAGTGAAGCTCTGCTTTCAAAATCAGTTGTTTTATTGCTTCTATGTATTTGATGCCAGGAAAGATGAAAAATAATTTCTTATTTCTCACTGCAAAAAAAAAAATCTAAACATCTCTGGAGTCCTTGAAAAAACTGCAGTCTTTTTCTGCTGTTCATTTAAGCAAAGTCAATTTTACATAGACATTGCTGGATACTTGTTGCTGGGATACCATCATGAAAATGTATTTGTAGTGTAAGGTAGATCCTTTCTTTGTTTGGGACAAAAGAGATACACACTTTTGTGTTGATCACCTTGGGAAAAAAAATGTCTTAGCAGCAAAGCTATCAAAAAGAAGGGATTTCTGAATCTCATAGAGGTAAGAAAGTAGAAGAAAACCAGTTCTTCATCTACAGCTCTTTTCTTGTTCCTTCTTTTCCTGTTCCTGGAAAGAAGATGATCAAATTTATTTGATCAAATACATTTCTTAATTTCATCTTATAGCTTTTCTGCCCTGCTAACTATGGGACAAGTGTTGTTCCTGTAAAGACTTCAAAAATGGGACTCCAGGCAGCAAACAAGAAGTGAATATAAGAGATTCTTTCTCAATGAAAATGCACCAGATTTTTCAGAGTATTCAAGAAAATGTCTCAAGAAGATTAAACTGTTATGATTTTTGTTTTGTCTGTTTTTGTGTTTTTTTGTTTTTTTTTATTTTGTTGGTTGTTGTGGTTTTTTGTTTTTTTGGTGGTTTTTTTTTGTTTTTTTTTTGGGGGGGGGAGGGGGGCGGGGGTGGTTTTTTGTTTTGGATTGACATTTTTTTTAGTCCAAGATGCCTTATAGCTTTTGAAGAATTGTATTTCAGTTTCCTCTTTGGTTGTGAAGACTAGTTTCTGCACTGCAGTTAATGTAGAGGTTCACAGTGAAGCACCAGCAAACTTGATTGTTTACACAAAATAAAACAAGCTACTGTTGAATCCTATCTGTGCAAATAATCTGAATTGGCTGTTGTGCTGCCAAATATAAAACAGAAAGGATATAGATGTTATAAAAACAGAAGGGTTACCAGGCAAATCGTAAATCAGCAGTGCTTGAAATTAGTAGAGAGTCTTAATCACAAAATAAAATTGCATACCAGTATTTCACAAAGCCAGAATTGAGAGATGCTGTAATGTGTAACAGAAAGTTTGTGATTCGGTCTCAAAAAAGAGATTAGCACATAAGGTGTGTGGGTGGTTCCAGTGAGATGTGAATGGCTCAGACCAGAATGACGAATGGGGCAATGTATGTGAATTGCTTTTGGCAGGCAGAATTTTGGAACCCAAGCAGAGTTGTCCAAAGTTGTGCCTGGGGTGGTGAATGCTTACAGCAAGGCTTTTCTCTCCCCTCTGTATCTTTATAGTCCATTAATTATGTTACTGGTAGGAAGTAATCTAGAAGAGTCTATATTTATGGCTGATGACTTCTGAGGTATATTTTCTTAACTAAAGCTAAATGAGAAATAAAAGCTTAGATCGCAGATTGTAAGAAAAGACCCACTTTTTTTTTTTCAGTGTTGAGTACCTTCAAATCCTTTGAAAGGGAGAAGATATGTTAAGTCAGTAAGAGACTAATTCTTTGGTGATCACAATATTAACATCAAAAATGCCCTTAGGAGAAGCATGGGTTTGGGACCAGTAGCCTGTTGATCAGTGATTGTAGTAGCTATTGTGGATATTGGGATGCCATCTTGAAAAAGAAAATGTGCAAGCTGTATGTATTCCAGCCTTTAGGAAAACAAGTGTTGGTGGTCCTCTCACCCGAAAGTACAATAGATTGAACTGATCACAGTACAGCAGATGAATTTCATAGGTAGAGCTGTGCCACCAGGAGTCATCTCCAAAAGCAACTCTTGCCATCCTCCAGCTTCAAGCTTCACACTTCTTCATCCACCACTACAGTGGATTTAGCTTTTATGCCACTGGGGAGTTATCCAGCTCAGAAAGCTGATCTCATGGCAAAGCGTTCAGGGTCATTTGTGATGAGTGAACTCTGAAGCATCTCACCCTGCAGCAGGTAGGTTCTGAGCAAGGGATGTGTGAGGTGAGTGGAACAAGTTACTGCCTGAACTGTTCCAGCTGAGTGTAGGGAAACAATGGTTTTCACTGATCTTGAATGAGTGTTTCTGCGAGCTAAAAAGTTAGCAATGGAGAAAACCATCATTCTCGTGACATAATGCTAGGAAAAATCTTTGGTTTTACAATGTAATCTAGGAATAACTGGTTTTCTCTTTGTGAAGACCCAGTTGCCAGCATATGGTTAAGCTGTTAAAGCTGACCGTGGCACGCTCTGTATAGGTGCTGAGGACATTGCTGCTAGCTCCTGTTTTCCCTGCTCCTCATTTAGAATCCTGCGCTGGTGAAACTGCTGCTTACAGGTTGTGCTTGCGCAAACAACTCATTCTCAAAACTGGGGTTTGTCCAGGATTCTTTGCACTACTCGTCACCGAGCTGCCTCTGCTGATATGTACCTCACTCTGAACTGCAGGGCAGCAGCTGTGCAGGTGTTTACTCTGAGCCTGTCTGAGTCAGGGAGAAGATGCTACAGGCTTTGCTAGGTTTAAGCAGGTATAGCAGCCACTCATGTAGTCTGCCAAACTAAGGAAGGAGTAATGGTGTGAGTTCTGCTGCCCTTCTTTTCCATGAGCTGGATGTGGAGCCTGGGGATGGCTGACAAGGGGGAGCAAGGAGCTGCCCAGTCTGCATGTGTGAACACAATCACTGAATGGTGATCGTGGTACCAGACCCATCTGCCCTCTACAGATTTTGCAGATGAAAGGAGAGAGAAAGTGACGCCCCCAGCTTTTTTTTTTTTTTTCAATTTATTTCCTTTTAACTTAAAGCAGGAAAAGTATTGCAGAATTTCCTTCCTTCTACCAAAGACTTGAATTGACACTTCCGGTTCCCTTGGCAACTGCATAAAAAGGCGGAATAAATAAAAGCAATGATAGCCTCCATCAGCAGCTTGCTCCCTGCACAAGTCGGCTCAACATCATTTATAAGCAAACAGCTTTGTGTTCAAATTAAAATTTTCTTCCTCTGGTCCATTGGATTCAGGCATTATTTTGGAGCCATGGAGAGGTTCACGTGCTTCCAGAGATGACATTTCATAGCTTCTGATGAAGTTCACTTGCATGGAAGAAATTCAGAATCAGATTTTCTGTATGTGCATTCCACAATTTTTGTGGTTCTGTTTCTCTTATTTCCTTATGAGATTTTCTCTCCGTGAAATACAGACTGCTGTGCAATTTTGTTCTCAGTGCACTGATGCAAAGGCAGAAGCTGGTGGGCACATCATTATTGTTCTGCAAGGACAGAGCTGCTCGGATTGCACCTTCCCTGGAGTCTTCCTTTTTTTTTCCCAACCTCTCCAAAAAAGCAGTCCATGCTGTCTCCTGCAATAAGTGTTGGGCTTTAAGTCAGCACATGCAAGGAGGAGGAGAACTTTTGAGTTTGCAAAGGACTGTTTTCCTTATTCTTTTCAAAAATCCTCTCCTTGAGAAACAGTTGTTCTGTTTTTTCGGAGAAAAGTCATCAGGCATAATGAGATGATGAAAATATCATCTAGAAGCAAGACTGAATGTAAATTGTCCTTAACTTTAGAAAAGGTGAGAGAAAGTGCTGGTATCTAGTTTAAAGCATTTCTATCAATTTCTATAAAAGCAATGTGATTGCCTAATCAGTGCCCTCAGTGATTAGGGCAAAGAGGTATGGAAAAGCTACAGTGCGTGAGGACATTTCAGTAGTATCTTGAACGTGTATCTTCAGGAAGGAAAAGGAAACATTTCTGCTGCTACCAGAGATCAGGATTGTCAATTATGACTCAGTGGCACAGTTTGTTTCCTGGTTCTGTAAAAGCTTTGGGAAAACAAGTACAGTGTACTGCCATTTTCCTCACCTAAGTACATTGGCCAGCTCGCTGGCTTCATTGGGATTTTGCTGTCTATAGATAACACAGTTATACTGGGAGATGTTTCTTTCCTCTTCATAGGTGCTCCAAGAAAGAAAGAACTTTGCATTATGGAAAGAAGATGGATAATTTACTTCTAATTTTTTTTCAAACGTACTTCTTAACCTGCTCTGTTTTTCACAGGAATTTCTTATTATGTAAAACTTACGCTCCTCTAAGTTGCAGGAATGATATCGGAAGAAGAGCAGTAGCAAGTGATCTGTTTACAAAAAAATATATTAAAATGTCATTTCATTCTTTCACTATTTTTTTTTCCATTTCACAGAATGATTCAATCCCTCAAGATGACTTCACACCCGATGTGTACAGAGTGTTCTTAAACAACCTCTGCCCTCGACCTGAAATCGACCACATCTTTTCCGAGTTGTAAGAAAAGACACTCATTTATTTAATTTTTCCCCTTCACTGGTTTTCTGGGATAGGGGTGGTAGTGAAGTAGCTTATTTAGTCTGTAGCACCATGCATTGACTACCAAGAACAGATTTCAGTGTCAAGCAAGAATAGTGTTTGACTTAGGATCAAAGTTTCCTCTTGTCCCAAGTTTTTGCCTCCATTTCTAATTGCCAGAATTGACTTGTTAGATGCTATGCGAGCTTAACTGCTTAACTCTCATTTTGTAGTTTGGATGAAGACAGTTTAGGCTTCAGTGAAAATAAAGGAAGAGTAATAAGCAATAAAAAGATGCAATAGGCATGAGAATATGTTTAACCACTCCCAAAAGCTTAATTAGGAGTAGGAGAAAAAGCAGTAACTTTTAGGATTTGTACAACTGGAACTGCCGCCATGAAATTAAATTATCAGCCATCTACAACTGAGTGCGTGCATTCAGTTACAAGCTATAAAGCTCATGTTGAATTATTCTGTTTCTGGCCCTTAGAGCAAGGCATTGTGCTTCACAGTTTTAGCAGAGCCTGATCAATGGAATCAGAAGATGAAGCAATATGAAAACAATTTCTGAAATACATTGCAAGACCACCAGAACAATTACTGTATCTTTGCAACATGTGTTCTCTTACACCTCCCTGTGCTTATTTTCTCCAAGGCTGAGATATTAGAAGAACTCAGCCATGACCTAATTTGCTTCCATTGACTTTCCATTGCTTTCTTGAAGAGCAGAACTAGGCCAGTCCCAAGTGCTGTGGAAAATCCTAAGCACCTGGCAATGTGCCTTCATAGATTTGCATCTGGGTACAAATTGTACCAAAACTCTACTGTTTTTACTAACTCTAAATAGACATCTTTTCACTTACTTTGCAGAGTGCTTAGGGTTTTTGTTTTTTTGTTTTTTTGTTTTTTTTTTTGCAGGTTTATAAAACAAGCAAATACCGGAATAATTAAGATAATTAAGTCAGGGCTGCTGTCTTTTAGCAGTAAAACCAAATAGGTAGGCCAGGAGTTGCAATGGAGTGTTTGCGGCAAGCTCAGGACTGAATGCCAGATCTTCTCTTTTACATTCTCAGATTGCTTTGTTCCAGGAATTCAGAGGAATGAAAAGCTTTTAGCATTGCTCTAATTCTTGCCACTGATGTCAATAATGCTGAATGCTTTTAAAAATCTTGCTCCTAGATGTTTAATGAAGAATGTTTGTCATTAAATGCTGGCAAGGTAAACTAGTCTGGAGACCCAGTGGAACATCAATTTTTTCTATTGTATGATTGTTTGAATTTTGTTTCAGTTTCCCTGGGAAATTATAAAACATTGAACAAGACTTCAAGGAATCATATTTTAATTGCCTTGCTTTTGCTTTAATTTTCTCTAGTGGTGCCAAGAGTAAACCATACCTTACTGTTGATCAGATGATGGAATTTATAAATCTTAAGCAACGTGATCCACGATTAAATGAAATCCTTTATCCACCATTAAAACAGGAACAAGTTCAACAACTGATTGAGAAATATGAACCCAACAGTAACCTAGCGAAGAAAGGTCAGTGGTTTATCTTTTCTCACCATGCCCAGTTTCTGATTTGAAACTGTGAATCAATTATAATGCAGTACATACTTGAGCAAAATTTGGTTCAGAATCCAACTGCTTTTCCAACTATCTGCTGTTGAATCATACAGGCCTGTGAGACATCGTGTGGTTAGTTTTTACATGTATTTAGTTGGAATCAATTTAGAGAGGTTGATCTGGTTTTGGTATTTATTTTTCTGTATGTGTAATTCTTCTAACCAGTTGCTTTGATATGCAGACTTCAGCAGAAACCATACTGTCACAATGGCCAAAATGTGAATTTTACAAAAGCAATTGCAATTGATAACAACAAAACTAAGATGATGATGATTCTGTCCTCTATTTTCCTATAAAGTGTGCCATAATCACAGAAAATGCCCCTTTGAAAATCTCAGGTGCTGTCTAGGGTGCAACTAGGACTATTGCCAAATAGAGTGAAAGAACTTCTGTGTACATCTCAGCAGATTTTTGTTAGAAGTGTAATAATAGCATTGAATTTGTGTCTGCATCCTGTTTTATTCCAGTCCACATGTCCCGATGGTTACCCCAGCTTCTAATATATTAATAACGTAGAAATTCTAGGGGTGTGGGAATGTCCTGAAAAGCAGATCTGTATAAAAATATTGCTTTGGTTCAAAGATTTCAGACCCATCCTTACTAGCTGCTAAGCATTCTCCTTTGAAGAACCAGGGTCAAAACAGCATAAAAGAGATAAAGTCTTTGAATCTTCAGTTAAATAAAACTGACAAGGCAAGATCCTGTCAGTAGCTTTTTATAAATAGAATTTTTTCTTCTACTGTTAGAACGTTGGCTGCAGCTTCTGGCCCAAAGTAATTACGCGAAGGCTGTTAGGTCTGTAGTAGAGTCCATGGTTACAATTACAGAATTAGTCAAAGTAATACAGCCTCTTTGTAGTCCAAGATTCGTCAAGTGCTGCATCTGATTCTACCTGTTTTATTCCCAGGCTGGGATCCCTGTAGTCAACCTAAGGGTCTTGATACAGTCATCAACATTGTCTGAAAGCAAAGCACTTGTAATTTTTCTCATAAGGCTTCTTATTTCTGTAGTCCACATAATTTTGGTTTTGATGGAGAGCTAACTCCTGTTTCTTTGTCATGCTTACACAACCCTGTCTTTCATTGTCAGTGAGAATACTGGCACGGGATGAAAACACTGTGACTTGTGTGTCTTCTGTGCAAATACTAGAATATTGCTCTGTGCTTATCTTATTTCACATCAGCTGCAAGGAAATCTGTATATAAAAAATTATTCTTATTACCCAAATATTGGCACTTCATATAAGGCAAATTAAAGATTTACAAGAAGAAAGTGTGCTAACAACTCCTAAGTCACAGTGAAACCTCCTTCTGACTAGCAATAAGGAGGGAGCATGAAACAAACCTCATAAAGAAGTGTGTTAGGATAATATTTGCCAGCACCCTCTAAGTAGGATTTGTGCGACTTTTACAGTTTACCCCTAATTCACGTTGGTACACATGCTTGGTGCACTTACTCTTCTACAGGTGCCTCCCTCCTGGTATACGATTTATATTGTTCTTTCAGAATCAGTTCTCTCAGAAAAGCTTGAATTTATAAAGGGAAAGTCAAGTCAGAGAGTCTATTTATTTTGTATTTATTTTCTCTCCAAACTCATGCAGCGATGTCCAGCAAACTCACACAAGGCTGGCACAACCTGTCATCCACCTCAGTATTGCAAATACCACCTTTTTCTCTGCATCCTGCCGTCAGCTGAGTTGTGGCAACTGGCACGTTCTGCTAATAATGCCCCAGTGCAGATCTTGAGCACATTGTCTTAAAATTAAAGGAAATGGCTGATCGGGAGCAGCATGGGGACATAATATTTTCAGTACTTTAGGACTGAGTTGGGAATGTATATGAGATGAATTGTAGGTATATACTCAATCCTACACTTGGTGTGTGGAATAATTGCCAACAAATACTGCATGCCTGTAAAATGTCACCAAAATATAACTGCATATTGAAAATAATGTTAAAACCTTATATCGTGTTTTGTGAAAAGAATTGTTGCTTAAGCTTTCTGCTGTCATGAAGGTCTGTTCAAAGGCTGAATTGCAGATATTGGAGACTGAAGCAATACACTTCAGAGATGCACTCCCTACCATTAAAGCTATACTGACTTGGACCATTGAGGAGAGATGTTATTTTCTACTGACTTGAATGTAGCCAAACTACAGTCAGGTGTGGCTCAGTACCACACACCGATGATCTTCTTAGCCTCAACTTCCCACCTCTGCTGCTCAGATATTGTATTATATTTTGTACTGTATTACATAAGTGCCCTTATTTGCTGGGGCCAAGGTCAGTGGAGAGGTAGGGGTGGAAGCAAGATGTTTGGAATAGCCCCAGTACAGTCACTTAAAATAATTAGCGTGGGTAGAAACCTTAGAGTACTGGAATAACCAGCAAAAATTTGTAAGAAGACAGCAGAAACCTTCATCCAGCATAGTTCTCTCATAAAGCAAAACCCAGCAGCTCTATGAACAGAAAGGAACTTGGGGTAATTTCCGCATAATCCACTGCTTTACCAAGGGCATTTACCAATTGTTCCTGACAAATCTTCTGGCCTTCTATGAGAGAGTGACAGCACTGTTGGACAGTGGAAGGGCAACTGATGTCATCTATCTGGACTTCTACAGGATGTTGGCTTTGCACCACATTCTTATCTTGCAGTTGGAAAGATACAGATTTTAACTGTGTCTATAAACTAAAAGAGAGGAGATCTAGGTTAGACGTTAGGAGGAAATACTCAGAGGCTGATGAGGCACTGACGCTGGCCCATCGAAGTTTTGGATGCTCCGTCCCTGGAGGCAAACAAGGCCATGTTGGATGGGGCTCTAGGCAGCCTGGTCTGGTGGCAATGCCCACTGAAGGGAGGTTGGAACTGGATGGTCTTTTAGTCCCCTTCCTACCCATGCCATTCCATGATTGTAAGAGGTCCCAACTAACTGGCCCCTCTGGACAAATGTGGTATACCAGGAAGCAAAGAACAGCGTGGGAAAGATGCGGCAAGGCACACAAGCAGAGGTAATGGTGTGACAGAATTACATGATAAGCAACAGCATGGGGAACCAAGTTACGGGTGGCCTGAGGATGATTTCATCACTGTAGTACCAGACCAATGCAATTAAATAATAGGAGCAGGGAATAGTGCGTTTTGAAGAGTTTGGGTTCGAGAAGCAGCCCAGAATTTCTGACATTGCAGTATATGTATTTGTTCTTTCCTAGCAATGAAAAACAACTCCATAAAAATAAATCACAGATAAGGTCCAGAACAGAGGAAAATAGCTGTAATTTAGACCATGTCTTGTGAGTAATGAATGATTTAAAGTACTTTGTGGTACTAGGGACTGTAAAGGCTTGTTTGCAAACATTGGGTGATATAAATTGCTAGCCTTCACTCCAGTTAAATCCTTTTTCTTCAGTTTGTTCTGGAGTTTGCACCTTCACACTTGCTCAGCATGTGTGTTTGTGTGCCCATGCCTGCTGACAGGTATATTGTTTTGCTTTCATAAGCTGCCTTTCTGACCAACTCTGCTCCTTATCTCATTTCTGATTAACTCTTTATTAGAACGTCAGGCACTTAGTAACATGCACATAGTGGTGAAGGTCTGACCACTTTCACTTTAATTTCTATAGTATTTCTACATTTATTTATTTAAACAACCAATCCTGTGTTCAGACGTCCCACTGAAATAAAGGAATTAATGTTCAGCATTTTTATGCAATAAGGCACATATATTTGTTGGGCTCTCACTTTGTATGCTTTTTGTATCACCGCCGGAGAAAATACCTTTTACAAAAGGCTTAAACAAGTGTAGTGACAAATATCCTTGCTTTTCAGGTATTTAGGGCCGCAAGACCTAGATTTCTAATTGCCTTTTACAAAGATATACAAAGTATATATTGCTACGTATTGTCTCTTTCTTTTTTTTTCCTGTGTGCAGTATCGTACACGTCAAGTTGCGAACATGAAATGAATAGCTTCAGTTCTCAGGGAATTAAAGTATTTCCTGAAAGCATGTATGCTGTGGGAGTAAGATTTCATGTTTGCAATACACAGAACATCCTGGCCTCAGTGAAATAAATCCTTTAAGCATATGCTTAAGTTTATGGGTGGTGTGGGAAGGAGGGATAGTTATACAAAATCTCTTATGCTTCATTTCTTAGAACATCGTATTAATTCTTTATTGAATCTTAATTGCTGTAATTACTTCTATTTCTTTCATAGCAGGTTAAATGAATTTCTAATGAATGGTCATACTGAATCTCAACTTTCACATCAAACGAGTGTAAAACACTTGGCATCTAATCATTCTCCATTTTCTAATCACTGTTACAGCTCTTTTTCTGTACATGTTGCAGCTATATTTTGAAGTATTTTGAGCATGGGTAAGCAAGAACATATCTTATATTTTATACTGCTGAAACATGGCTTCTTAGGTACCTGGTAAAATCAAATGCCTATGAGCTTACTGGATGAGGGCCTTAAGTTGCACAGTTTTGATCAAATAGGCTGCTTGTGTTTCTGCATGCTGCTTATATTTGTAATATTGTATATGGAACGTGATTGAGCTTTTGAAACATCAGCACATACATGGGCTTGACATCTACATAAGTTAAGCATAAGAAGTGGTATTTTAGTGTGGTTGCAGCAAGCTGTTGTGATTAATGTTTTGTTCTGTACAGTGAAGGAGATTATTGTACAATGTATAGCATGTTTCCTTATCAGGTGGAGGCAGAAAGAAGTTCCTGGTACTGCTGAGAGTCTCTTGCTGTCAGCAAAAACATGCTGTGTGGCTTTTAGGCTTGGTTAAGTAGCATTTTGTAATTTGGCATTTTCAGGTTACAATGCATTTTCTTTGGGTAGATGGCATAACTAATAAAATGGTTTCCTTTTCAAATTACCGTGCAGATAAAGGTATTAATAAATC